TCAGCAGGACTTGTGAGAACATGAGAGAAAATTCTCTTTCACAGCATTAAAGAGTCCGTCAAATCCAAACGTGCAGCAGAAGAGTGTCATTACTTGAACGCATGGAATGAGACTATACATTCAGATTAGTAATTCGGGTTAGATTACACAGTAAAATTAGGTTTTCTCTCTCCACCTAAAAGATGAGAAGCATTGTCCTTCTTCTCTGCTTTAATACAATATTACCAACGGATTTTTTTTCTTTTTGCTCTCCTGAGAATCAGGATACACAGAACAGTATTGTATGTATACTATTAAGTTCCACATACGTTCACAACAAGTACAATTTACATTTAAAAGAACAATTACTTTTAAGTGAAGGCACAGCGAGTGCCTTCACTTAAGTGAACTGACATGAGTTCCTAATCCAACAAACCTATTCTAAAGTGTTGTCAAATCACAGCATCTATGCAACAAAATATTAAAGAAAAAGATCCTTCAAGATGTTCTCTTTCATATCCAACATGAAATAGGAATATGAATACTTAAATCGTAACAGCTTTATAACAAAACACAAGTGTTTCAAGTCAGGAAAATAAAGCAAACATAAATGATTCAAGCCCATTAATATTTCAAGAAACTCTTTAAATTCAGGGACTAATACTACTTCAGCATTCAAGACTTTGAACACAGGACATGAATCATCTCAGCAAACACATCAGGATACAAATGGAGATCTGAATATAAATGCATATATTGGTTATCTGAGAAAGAATGAACACCTGAGCAAAGTTTCTCTTATACCTTAACATACGGAACTCTGTTTTTATCCTCATGTACCGCAAGGTTTGTTTTGGACACTAGGAAGGAAAATGCAGTTCATTAGGAACATTCCACAAGTAATAATGTGTCAACTAGAGGCATGACAGATAATCTGAATGTATTAAGTTTGCAACTTGAGACTGTAGTCACCTCCTGCTTCTAATTATCTATCACTGCTTCTGCTATGTAAATCTGAATTTCTTTCTTTTAAGCAACCTTTATGGCACAGACCTTTTGTTTAATGCTTAGATCAGTAAGTTAAACACAGATCAATTTGGATTTCTTCAAAGCAGCAAAGATTAAGAGGTAGAGAAGAATTCAAGGACTAAAAAACACTCCGATGCACGTTACTCTTTTGTGTTACCATTAGTACACCTTTCTGACTTCAGACTGATTCAATCAGTGCCTGATTACTTTCATCAAGAGACACTAAGCATGCACAGACTCACAAGTGGTAAAAGAGAGAGAGAAAACCCTCAAGTAACTATCCAGCAGAAGTAAAGCAAGAATATCTTGAGCTGAACGTATTCTAAATTTAACCAAAAACCTTAATAAAACATTGTATACATTTTTTTAGTTCAGTTACAATCTCATTATTAGAATATGTATCAACAATAAGGCTCAGACATGCAGGGTGCACTAAAACTCAGTGGTGGTTTATATGACTCGGCCCATTCTGCAACAATCTCTATACTCACTAATTTATAATCAAGCTACTACGTAGCATCACAGAAGTAGGTGCACAAGAGCCAGAAAAATCATATGACAATTTACAAAATTTTCTTTCATAAACTCGGTCATATAGCTTAAATTTAAACCCCTTTCAAACAAAGTAACTGAATTAATGCTAAAGGGGAAACAAATCACTACACCAAACACAACACCACTTAGTCACATAAGTAAAAGAAATGAAAAGCTTACCATCAAGTAGGTCCCTTATTTTGTCCAAGTAAATCTCAAAGTAGGAAACCTAATCAATCATAAACATTACATATTTAAACTTTGGTGATTTAAAAAAATCTATGTACTTATATTTCCATACCTGTCAAAATAACAAGCAGCAAACTAAAAATAAGACCACATATTTTGAATTACAACTCTTTCACAAGAAAGCACTTGTATTTTCAATGATTTACATGTCACATTACCTTGGTCTTTATCTACCACCGATTCATTAGGAAAGCTTTACCAAAAAACAACTTTGGACAAAGCTCATCTTCTACGTATTTTCCGAGACATGCAAAATAGACAAAATATTGAACATAATCGTGTCAGTACAGCATCACTAGGAGAGTAAAGTCTGATAACTGTAAAAGGCATGCAGATATTCACCAGCACAAACCAGAGGGCACATTTAGTGGCTTAACATACTAGTTATATAAGCCTAGGCTATACACATTAAACTAAATGAAGCACATGTAAAGTTCTTTGCTGAATCAGGTCCAAGAGAACAAACTGAAGCTGAGCTTTTCTGCAAGAAAAGACAGACAACTGTCCTTAAAATAAATAAATAATTTTTTTAAAAAAAGAGAGAGAGAATGAATAACTCTAAATAAACGGTGATTCAACTCTTACAGAGGCAAACAAATGCGTTTTTTTGGGGGGGGGGAGGTGCCTAAATGTATTGGAAATAAGTTTTATCCGGGGATTATTTAGCTAGCCAAATACTAGGCAGCTAAATTCTAGATAGTAAAGCACCATTTTACGTTATGGGAAAATATAAGTCACATGTACATTTATTTTTTTAAACTGATGATTTGATCTTCCTACATGATCGCTGCTATTAAGTACAGATGTGTTTAGCTTTTGTGCCTTTCCTTCATCTGTGTCCTGTTTAAAGCCATCCTCTGGACTAGCTTGTTTCAACAGTCTAGTTCTTCCAGACTCATTTCATGTGTTTTATATTATCCTATTAACATAGTGCTGAGGATCAACATATACTGGAGATGTTCCCCTCCCTGTTCTTAATGGGTGTCTAATAAAAGGAGGAAGAGGGGAGAGGGAAAACAAACAACGATACTCATTTTCAAAGTTGGCTCAGTTATTAAAAGACTGTGACAGTCTGGTAAAATTCTCGGTCTCAGTGACAGAACATGCATTTCTCTAGATGACAGCTTCTTGTATAATCACTCACTCCCTCATTGCTATTTAGGCAGCTTTTTTGTTACAATATTCAAAAGTGTCAGCTATGATAGGAAACCACTGAAACAATTCAGTGCTGGCAGAACATGATAAGTCTTCTGCTGGGACAGGAATTTACTACGTCTAGTGTCTAGTACAAAGGGGTCCCCATCTGTTGGTATCAAAGTACTATCACATAGAATAGCAATAGCGACATGAGAGTTTTACAGATGAAAACAAATCATTGTCATTCCTGAAGAAGCCATTTCTAGAAAACTTCAGAGGTTTCTCTTCTTAAGGAGCTCAAAATTTTCCAATCCAAGGGCTACTAAAATATTTAGATGGTTTATTTCAACTTTGTAAAGCTGCTTCTGTCTATACCTCTTGAGCACAGACTGCTCAAGAACAGGCACCGCTAAGAACACTCTCACTACAAAAATAACCTAGTACTTCCAGAAGGACAGTAACAGGTTCAGAAATGCGTGAAACACGTTAGAAGAGGCTGAATTATTAGAGAAAGTACCCCGAAAAACTTGAAGGGGTTTGACGCAGCCAGCGGTGAAAAGTCACTCATCGTTTAACTTTTAGGCACAAGGTAAACCAGTCAGAGGGGCAGAGGAGGAGAATCCCATTCTAAGGGAGCATCACCAGGTCACAGGAGAAGAAGAGAAAGTGTTTGCACACTTTGAGTAGCTTAGCACAGCTACTCAGCTTTACCAAAACCTTCTAGTTACATAGCATATGTTTTGGGGGAGGGATGACAGAGGAGTACTCGTTTCTCCTGCAATCCACTGGGTAATTTTATTGATGTCTGCTTGGGAGAAAGTTGTGTCCTGGCTCCAAGTCGGCCAGACTGGCTCCGATCCCCCCACAGCTGACAGCCGAGGTAGCGTTTTGCAGCTGCTCCCTTGGCAACTGGAGGCAAGATACGAGTTAGAGGGCACTTCAAAGAATTTGAGAGAGATAACGTATGGGATCGCGACAGGGACAGGTAAAAATCATATTAGCTGTTCAAATTATGGGTTTCAGAAGACAGTGGACTAAGTCACACGTAAGCTCTTTGAGATAAAACTGACTTCTAAACATCATTCGTAAAATTGGCTAAAGCGATCTCCTCCATTTCAAACCTTGTATTATGGATGACTGATTATATCCTTGAAATAAAAACAGCATATCAATATTCTTTTTCAAATGCCATGCAGACTAAGGATATTTATGGTTATAACCAAAGGGGCTGAGGCACAGGCTTTGGAGAAGCTGCATTAAAAGAGGATGTTCTTACCATACTTTCTTACAGTGTTGGCTACCCTATCAGCTCTGGTGAAAGGTGACTAAGACAAGGCAACCAACTTGAAAAGGGCTACAGAGAAGGCTGAGACACAACCAAGCTGTTAATCCACGCTATTCTGTTGTGACTGTAGTCTGAACTGAAGTTAGCTAATGCAGACTGGCTAACCTGATTCAAAAATATATCCAAAAGTTCTGTCAAAGGCCCTTTCCTCAGGCTAATAAGTCTACTGGATTTTTCTAATAAATGTCCTTAGTAAAGTAACTGTTCTTTGAAAGATTATAAAAATAAAAAAATTCTGCAGCAAAGTGTTTTAAGAATCCAGATTTCACATCCAGCTCAACTTTCTTTCATCTGACCCATTACATAACACGTCATTCTGCATTTACCTTTATGTGAAACTCCAGGTTTTCATCCATGGAATAGATGTGATCAAAGATGTCATGTGCAATTCTTGGAATGATTCCCATTAGCTGAGGGTCATGCAGCTTCCCCTACAGACACAAAAGCACACTGTAACTTGGCAAGCGTTGCTCAGGCACAGGAGAAGAGAAGGTCTTGTTCAAACATACCTTCATACAGTGGGCCCTATGTACGTCTGCTGCTCTGTGGGGATTTGCTTGATACAAGCGCACATAAGAGGTGGCAGAATGACTCAACATGTTAGCACTCCTCATCATACAGAGTACTGATTTGTTCTGCCAGTTCCTGCCAGTTGTGAAGCATGCTGTCCTGCTGCTATTTACATTGTTACGCCCTGATTTAAGATAGAGGAATAAACACAAACAAAACACCTGGAAATTATGGCCTGGTTCTCTCAGTCAAAAAATAAAAAATAAAAAAAAAGCAGCTATTTGACAACATGTCAGAAATGAAAGAGAATCTGAATGCTGTAAGACTTTTCACCACTGTACCAGAAAGTTAAAGGGAAATCTGGGTTGTGCAGATTTGGGGATTAGAGGTAATATATTCCAGTTTCAGCTCGCTGGGCCTATTGCCAGGGAGCAGTGCTTTACAAACATTACTGTTCTCTATACTAATTTGCACAACTACCTTCCTCTATTCTTTGCAGAACTGAATATGAAATAAAAACAATTTCCCTAGCTACATAGCTCCTTTTAGCGGCACGCCTCTTTTTGAAGAGGTCAAACACATACAGGAAAGCTACCACTAACTATTTAAGTGCTGAACAAAAATACAAATCTGAAATAAAAATCTTTCTCCGACTTCAACATACACGGCATTGTTGTTTCCACATACTATATGAAACTGCTTAAAGATGCCATAACATGCATTTCAGTCAGTAGCCATAGGACACCATCAGAACACATGGTCTAGAAAACATACGATCTTCAAAACCTCATCTAGGTATTATTGCCAATAGAACGTTATTATTGCACAATAGAACATCTTACTCCAAATATTGGTACAGAATTTTTAAAAATATAGTGGATAACCATACAATCCTAATCACAGGAAGTTATTTCTGATCAGTAACTTCCAGAAGTAAAATTACTGAACATCGGAACAATTTTAGCAAAATAGGAAGAAAAGCATACATGCACGTTTCTGACTAGTGGGTCACATACACCTGTTTTACCAGTTGGCCAGCCTTTGTTAGTACATTCAAATATAGTCTTTCTGAACACCACTTCCTTCATTCTAAGGTTGGTGAAATGACCATCAACTTCTAAACATTAACATAGGATGAAGGAACTTTAACGTGAAAAACTGACAGTATCTCCAAGCTTGAATTTAAAGCAGTTACTAGATTTATGACATTGAATTACATATCTTGGAAATAATAGGGGGAATAGAGAAAGAAATCAGTTATATTGCCCTATTTCCCCTTTGAAACACTTATCCATATCTAAACAATATTTTACGTTAAACAAATAATACTAACTTTTACAGTGGGAGCAGCTAACTGCTATACTGTATACAACATCCGGTTGTATCATCTCAAAAACTAAGAAGTTCTTGTTGTACAATACACTTTTTCTTTTTTTTAGGTCATGAGAATGAAGGAACGATGATCAAATAAACTGAATCCCCAATAGAAGGGAAAAAACACACACACACACTCAGGATAAAACCCAACACTTTTTTTTTTTTAAACCTTGCTAGCAAAGACGACATTGCACAACGCTTATTTTTTTACATAAAGCTGTTACTGAACAGATGCTGCAATACAGTTTTGATGCTATTCATTCCTTCTCACTGAAAAAGTACTCAAAAAGTTCACCAAAATCAATTGACTACCCTGTATTACTGCTGGAGACAGTCTTCCCAAATAGGGTAAAGGAGTTTTTCCTAAACAATGATGTATAGAGATTTGCATTCAATACTTCTTCAATGTATAATGCAACCAAAGGCATGCATATATATATATACACACACACGCGCGCGCATCAACATACACACACACCCCCACATATATACACACACACCCAACCCCACATATATATACACACACACACACACACACACTATAAAACAGTGCCAGATGCAAGACCCTAAGCTAACAAAGACAAATGTAGCTACAGAACCAGAGACACTAGAGCTACACAGTGCCCCTTTTTCTGCACTAGTTTTATCAAGCTGGGTTACTAGCTCAGGCAAAGGACAGCATGAATTCGGCACAGAGGCATATCAACTTTGGGACATCTGCACCACGCTCCACTGCACTAGGTAAACATATGCCCTAACAATTGCTTCTGCCCTGTGTAAGTGATGACATATGAGAGAATTTAATTAAACGTTCTCATCTCAATGAGCTCTATAAAACTTCTGCTTTCCTTTCCTTTTCCTTCGCTAGAAAGCTAGAGTCAAAAAAACAAAACACCCCACCCACATGGCTTTAGGTGTGACCTCAGAAACAGTTTGGAGAAACATGCTTCTGCTGCTGCCATGCTGACACTGCAGTGGGGCCCCCCCCCCCCCCCCCCCCCCCACAAAGGACCAGGCCAGAGAGTTCGTTGCTCATTAAAGCCTTGCAGTTTAATAAGAACATCAATTTCCACATTTAAACACAGCAGGCAGTAGCGAGGGAAGTGTAAGAGTTAAGACAGCACTCTGTTTCAGAATATTGACCTATTAATTACAACATCTGGGAAGATAAAACTATTGAAAGGCCAAAGCCAACCAGTGTAATCTTACGGACAAAAAAAATACGTAATTTTTAAGAATGTATCTATCCTGCTATACAGGTGGCAAGTGTTTTATCTAGCATAGGAGAAAGACTCATGTTTGTCAGAGTCTATCCTGGCTATATTATACTACCATGTCCTGCTTAAGGTTAACACTAATACTATGAAGCATTTCACAGAAAATGCTCCATAACAGCTTTACCTAGAGGATTTAATGTTTCCTCAATTTCAGACTAGCTTTTTCTTCCACAACATACTGTAGCAATGATACAAGAGGACGTAGGGTTAAAAAGGGGATTAAAACTGAATATAGATTTGCAACTGCTTTAAAGTGACAGCTTAAGAAAAGAGAGAGAGAGAGAGAGAGAGAGAGAGAGAGAGAACGCCATTTTTCTATAGTCATTTTCTTTATCGTAGCTTGTAATTCTGAATATAAACTGGCTTTAAGAGATCTTTCCCCATGCCATGTGCAAGCACTAGCTCAAGCCCTGCAGACATTTTGATTTAATTACATTCAGAGCTGGTGGATTACTTAGTCATTGTGCCATCTGTGAGGATTCAACTAGTGATTTCCCCCAGACTCGCTCTCCAAAGGAGGCGAGGACAGACTTAATTAGACACGAGGCATCAGTTGCTCCTTTCCTGGAGGATGCAATAACTGTGGCAATTGAACAGTGATTCCCCAGAGCCTATTGGCTCAAGAGAACATTGCTTTCTCTCTCCTTTAACCTTCAGGTTCAGTAGGTCACCCATGTTAATCATCATGTAGCAAATCTGTCTTGACACTGTTAAACAACTGGAAGTACAGCTTTTTCTTATTTTCTTTCATTTAGTAATATTTTGTTGTAGATGTTCTGTTTAAAGTTCACAGTTGAACTGAAATGCTCTAATATACACACACCCAGCTTGTACGGTTTTTGTGATAGAACAATCCTAGGCTAGTAGTTACACAGCAGTCCACCGAAGAATTAATGCTTGACTAATCCTCCATTTTTAGTAGGAGACTAAAGCACCATTTAAACGTCTCTACCTGGACAGCCTAAGAGAACTTGGGGGAGGGGGCACGTTGGGGAGAACACTACATCGTTGCACTTTGTGTGCTGGAAATACAAACAGACTCAGGACTTCAGCCACGGGAATTTGGTATTCCTTTTCTCCAGAGCAACAATTTTCAAATTCATCTGTCTGTGCTGCAGCATGTGAGAGGTATTCCCAGAAGAGGAGTGCAAATGAGAAAACCAATAACCAAGGCATGAATTTTCACAACCCTACATGCAAGGCAATTCTACAGATCATTATTACTGTTCCATTTTGTAGATTAGCGTATCTCGCTCAAATCCTTTAAAAATACACACATTCCTAAACTGTTATGACAAATATATTAGGCAAAAGCTATGAAAAAGTCGGTACTTTTCACTCGCCAATTGTTATTTCAGATACATATCTGTAAACATCTCTGGGAAAAAAATTCCATACAAAAAAATAATAATAATACAGCTTAAAAAGCATTAGAAGCTAAACATCTCTCTTTTTATACGCCACTCTCAGCTGAGAGTTCCAGATAGCTAGTTTGTTCAAGCAATTGATACATAATTCTCCTGCTGCTACCCAACAGAATTAGTTTGGCTACTGTACCTCCATAGTATGAGTTTTTCCTGATGATGTCTGTCCATAAGCAAAGATTGTGCCATTGTAGCCTTCAAGAACATCTGCAAGAACAACAGAAATAATTAAGACTCATATTGGCATCTTAAAACTATATTATCAGTTTCACAGGTCTTCTGCAATGCTTATAAGCTGAATTAGAAAAATAGCTTGTGCACTAAAGGAAGGAAAAACATAATGTATCTAACAATCTCAAGGCAGAAAAGTTTATTCATAAGATCAGAATCAGACAGTTACAGAACTAGTGACATCCCTTTCACTTTCCTGAGGAAAAAACTCTCTCGACATCAGGTATCATCCAATATATCCATCTGACATGGAAATCAGAAGACTTAGTTACCTGCATTTAAAACATTCAAGTACCAAAGAGAAAATTAAACAAACTCAAATTTTTCTCTCTCTGCTACTATAATATCGGCAATGGTTCACAGCTTCAGCAGCTTCCAAGCTTGTTTGCAAAGCAGTAGAGCAAAGCAGGAAGAAAGTCAGACAAATATGGAGTTGCTTTATTAAAGGGTAATTCTGTCAAGGTAGAATGAACAATTGTTGATATTGCATTAAGACATCAAGAATACCTATTTTTAATTTTGCTATGGATGATGTCTATAGAAGCTTTCAGAACTCAAAGGACGGAGGGAAATGGTAGCGTTCTAAAACAGAAAGCGTTCTAAAACAACTGGTGTTTTCCAAAAAGCTGTATCAAAAGCCTGCCATACTCCCACATGTATTCACTTCCATGCATTTGAAAAGATTGCCATGTTGGACCTTCTCCAGGCAAGTGAACTTAGAAAGTCTTAAGTAGGGCCACCTATTTATGCAGCTTCATGTTTAAAAAAAAAGTGTGACAGGTATTACAGCTGCTAATAATGAAAGAAAAAAAAAAATCAATCCTAATCAAAAAAGCAAATGGCAATAACTGTGCTGTTCTTGTCAGCCTCCTCAGAAAGGCTGCTCCATAGCCTCTGAATGCAGTGGTAAGAAAGCTGAACAGGCTATTCAGCTTACGGATGTGTACTTTCCCCTCACCACTGGTTACCAAGACATACAATATAGCACTGTGTCCAACTCTTCTTGCCAGGGAGACAGCAGCAACGTACTGAGCACCCGAGCTCTGCCATCTGCCTCTGTAGCAGGAACAATAGATAAGAGACAAAACATGAAAGCTCCAGAGGGGAGTGGAACAGAAAAGAAATAAAAACAAAGGGAAAAGCTCGGCTCTTCCAGCCTCCAGAGGGGACTGAGAACAGCCACCAAACATCAGCTGCCAAAAAGCTGGAAGGCAGTTACAGAAACGACTGCAATCCTAACACAATTCAGCAACTGTGAGACACTAAGCAGCGCCATGCCCCAACTTCAGCCTCCTCTCTAGGGTTGGGGCAGGGCTGAACAATACAGAAAGATGGTTAAAAAGAAAACATACATAGAAAAAAGGGAAAGGAAAAAGATCTTTTTCAAAGCCAATCACAATATAGACTCACAACTGTTTCTTATATAGCAGGACTGAATAAGGATAAAACTGGAATGGAGCCATTTAAAAAAAGATTATAGTTAAATACAGAATGTAGTTTTTTAAATTGTGGTGGAACTGTTTTGGAGAGCTAAGGAGAATAGGCTGTGGAGCTATATTAACACAGGTTATACAGTCCTCCAAACAGTAGTGTTGGATAAGTCTTTCAAACCTTGAAATCTAGGAGAAAGACAAAGTTAGAGACTATATTCTAATTCCTGTCATTCCAATATTAACATTTTGTATGAGCTTAGCATCTTCATCTGTTTACAGAAATAGAGATACTGCTTATTCTTTCTTTAAGGAAAGAAGATCTGGAATAAGTAATAATAAATAATAATTTCATAAAAAACAAACAAACAGGCAGCGTGAGGAAAGTCTTAAGAAGCAGCACAAAATTGAGTTCATACCTTCTACCCATTATGTTCACCAACAGGCTTCTAAATAGAGCCAAATTTCACGTTATTGGTATTTCAAAACATTCATTCACCATTTCTTTTCTGAAGGGAACATCTTATTGACTCGTAGTTCAACACAGAATGAACCTGAGCAGAAAGAAAGGGCTACAACAAAAATAGCTTGAACCCTGTGGAGAAAAATCACTTCCCAGAGGAACACTTGCAGCTGGCCTCCTACTGTTACTAAGCCTCAAGGCTGATCATCCGGCTTCACCACATTCAAAACCAATTCACCTGAAGTTTCATGGGTGCAAATTTAATGGTATTTTTTCCAATAAACCCCAAAGTTTATTAAGCAATGTCTCTGGAAGATATATAAGTATTAACAAGAAAAAATGAGCTGCTTAGCAATTTCCTGAAGACTGTTGACCATTAAGACTTTAAAAAGATTTCTGCCAGGAGCTCCACTGAATTTCCAGCAACGGATCTAACTGTAATACTTGGGTGAACCATCAGAAACACGGGAGCGCAGGATCAGGGAGGGAGGGAGAAGTACAGGTAGGCAGCAAGGATCTGCAGGATAAGTGCATGAAGTGAATGAAGCTAGTATCAGCTCACAGTGGATAAAAGTTGTATCCAGTTTTTTTTATAAACATTTCCTTTTTAAAAATTGATCAGATTAATACTAAATTTCAAAATAGTCTATAACAAAGGCAATACTTAAGGCATTGTATTAAGACTGTATTGGAAACATTTTAAATAAAAAGCTTACATTTGTTTATTGTGTACTACATTACATATATTTGCACTTTTTAAATTCTAATCCAAAATGTAACTGGAAATTGGAATAGGAAAAAGACTTGTTTGCCTTTTTAAATGGAAACCAGAACACGGGGAAGATGAGCTAAAGTGCCTAGAGGAAACACCGACCCAGAGTTTCAGAGATATTTAGGCACCAAAAAACCCAAATAGTTGCCTCGGGGGGATTTTCAGAAGTCCTTGAGCAACAAACGCGTGCAACTCCCATTTGTTTCTAAATTATCACCTAGAATCGAAATACCTTTTCAATCCTGCCTCATGACATTTACAAAATAATCTAGGAGTTCACTAATTCACTACTATTATTTCTTCTTTTGCCAAATGGGGTTAACATTTAAAAAAAGAACTGAAACAATAGTTCAATTTAAAAAAAAAAAGGAACAACAAACACTCATCTGCAGGTGAATGCAAAGTACAGTGCCAGTTATATATTGGTGCACAGCCTAAAGGGAAAACAATCTAATCAATCAACTGTTAGGTAAGAGAATTGCTCAAAATTTGCATTGATGTATAGGGTATGTTTCTTACCTATATTCCCTCAAGCAGCTATGCAGTTTCCCATTAAGGAAAAAAAAAATCCTTATTTTGTTAAAAAAAAAGTTTACATTTTGATGCAAGTCATCATTTTAATGGTTAAAATAAGGAATGCAAATTTATCTGTTTAGGAAAATAAAGTGCAAATACTTAGTAATTTATGAGAAAGAGAGAGTTTCTTCTTGATTTAGAATTCAACCCACCCTGGACAGATGCCCTCATTTTTCCTGCTGGCCTCTGCTTTCCCAGCCTTTTTTAAAACATACATTATTGCAAGGCCCAACAAGGGAAGGAAAAGCAGCTGCCTGAAAACGCCACAGCTCTCAGTCGCAGACAGGAGTAAAGGCTACTGCTTGATCATCAGCTAACAAGCGGGCTGCGAGGAGCTGTGAAGCGGCCCAGAAGACTGGCACGCCGTACGCACGACAACTGCATGGAGAAGGGAGAGCCGCGCGGAAGCGGTCACTGCTCCTGAAGGACAGGGCAACACTCGGGCAAAGCTCTCTGCGCAGCAAGACAGAGCGGTAGAGAGGAATGGGACCAGTGCTATGAGAGACGGTCTCTGAGCTCCCATCCCACAAACCGCAGTCACCAAACCATTTTAAATTGTTTAGAATAGCATATGCACACTCTTGCATAAGCCACATCACAAAGGTAAAGCAAGGTTGTAAACATCAGTTACTCCATCAGTACTTTAAAGTCTTCTCTAGAGTCAAAGTGAAATACTGCATTTATTTCAAAGTAATCTTCACTGTTATCCACCCACAAAAAGCCAGGCACAGGTTATGTCTGAGACATCATCTCTCCCTCTCACCCCATAAGCCTTTGCATCACCTGCAATTAGTAAGGTCAGAGGTCTCAGAGGAAGAAGAGGATCTTTACCGAGAGGTTTTCCTCCTTAAGATCGTTAACATACTGTCAACTGATAGTCACAACTGAAGACAGTCCCCGATACAAACAGTCCACACAAAATTGAAATTGTGAGGGAAAAGGGAAAAATAAACAGATCGACAAGTGATCAGATAAGGAGCAATTGGGATTTTTATTTAATTCAAAACAAACAAAAAAGTCCAAGTGCTTTTCTTAATTCCTGGTCCAGCTTTCTCCACAGTGATTTTCACTTTGATTTATCTTCTTCCCACAAAATCAAAAGGCAGCTACTCAACTGCTGCCATAGGACATTTTTCCTGATGAGCCTGGATAGGACAAGTAGCAGTGGTCTAGAACTACAGTAATAAAAACTCAGATTAGGCACTCAGGGAGGGGGAAAAAAAAAAAAACAACACACCACAAACAGGAAGGCGGTGGAACCCATCGCTGGAGACCTTTCAAGGTGGACCACTGACAAGTACAGGAGTCATAATGGCAAGAAGAAAGATCAAATGGACTGACAAGTCCTTCAGCCTTGTTTTTATGACCATGTTTAGTCCAATACTTATCTTTCCCGTCTCTAAATTCTCTAGCTCTATGATTGAGCATTTGAGTGCTGTATTTGTAATTGGCGCAGAGAATCAATAAGCTACCCAGTGAGAACTCAAAAAAACAAACAAACCAACCAACCAACCACCAGCACCCACCAATCACAACCCCACCACCCAAAAAAATCATTAAAGCAGTTAACTTTCTCTTCCTTACAGGACACACAAACGCACAGATGTTCACACGTGCACTAACTTACAGCTACAGTGTAGAATAGCAGCTTAGGCCATTAGATATTTCCCTCTCTACAAACATATGAAAGATGCAACAATCCAAATACAGACCTCTTTCTGTATAGATTAGGAAAGTGATGCTGTTTTATGGCTCTAGACACCAGTGGGAAGCAAAGCCAAAGTAGCAGCAGATTTCGTAATCACATACTATTGTAGTCTTTCAAGTTTAGCGGTATTTGTTAGTTTGCTTTTAAAAAACCCCAAACAACAACAAAAAAAACCACACGCACGACACTAATACGGGTTCATAAACTGTGGTTGCATGCATCAGCAATGACTCCCCATGCAGTTCCACTCCCCAGAACACACAGACCAGCATCAGCACAAAGGCATGCATTTGCTCAGCTGATCAGTGGATAACACAGATCAAACGGAAAAACCCTCTGCAAAGCACAACACCGGTCCCTAGATGCCCAGCCTGCCTGAACCCTGTACCTGCTGCAGGAAGGGAGTACCAGCAAGCAGTAGCATACATGCTTCCAGATCAGTTCGCAGGAGCAAGGTCAGGTATGAAATGGGTAATTAGATGGCTGAACGAGCCCGTGGCCAGCCCAGTAGCCTTCAGCCGGCCCCTGAAAAAAGTTCCAACCCTCACACCATGCAAATCACAATACTACATGGATTGCTTCTCCCCCCTCTAAAAATGTTTATGTTTCTCACATATGGAATACGAAATACGTCTGCTCACACTTATTGACCCATTTGTTTATACCTAAATCCCATTCCTCCTCTTCAGGGAAAAAAAAACAACAAAAAAAAACACCCAGAAACTCCTTTTATTGTCAACATAGTTGTTATAAACACTGTTTCAGAGACTGTTAAGCCAGCTGGCATTCTTTATAATATTAATCTCAGTAAAACCATCAGCCATTTCATGGGAGCATAATGAATTTCGATAACAAAAGGTAACTCAAAACTTTAGCTAAGGAAAGTTTCAAAGGTTTAAGTAGTGCAGGTATAATGCACTCAGCTGATATTTCCATGTTGTAAATTACACAGTTAAGGTCTATCAGAAATAATGCCATATGTTTCATATTCTTCACTTTATTAGCCCTTACAAAAAAAGAAAAAAGAGTAAGGAACAATAATAAACTAAGTCTATACACTGCAGAGTTTTTGGTAATAACCTAGTAATTTTGTAGGTTTTTTTTTAAAAACTATTGCTCATACTACTGATATTTCTATTGGAGCAGCATAGAAAATAAACAAAAAACAAAACCAAAAAGCCTCAGACAAGCCTAGAGTCCAGCGCAGATAACCACTGAACAAATACTGCGCAAAATCACCTAAGAGGCATTGCCACATAAATGGACCGGACAACAAAGGACGTACTTTTATCAAAGTTTCACAGTTGAGGAACAAAGAGGTTAAAGTGACTAACCTAAATTCACCAAAAAAGTCTGAAGTCGTATGTTGGGAAAACTGAGCCTAACTCTCCAGAATCTCACTTCAATAGCTTTTCTCTCTCTCACCCACCCACCCAACTTGCCTTTCAAAGTATCTACAAAACTCAAGTTAACACACATACAAAAGTATGTTTCAATCATGCCTTCAAATAGAACTTTGGAACATATACCACCTTTAGGTGCCTAAATTTAGGAGGACAGGCTTTCTATATGGTTAATGAAAGAAGACTTAGACACCGATTTAGGTCTTGTGACTTGATCTCAAAGAGGGTTTTATTTCTCTTAGCAGCCTCAAAGGAGGCCAGCTTCCACAGATGATACGAACGCCCTCCTTCACAAGTACACATACAGCAACGTGCCGCTTCTGCCACTCGAGCAGTTGTTTGCAATTAGAACACAAAAAGCAACAGTGGCTTTGCATTCGGCGTCCCGTGCCTCAAACAGAGCCGAGAACATTTTCTGTAAAAGCTGTGTGAGCAGTCATGGCAGAAAAAAGGCAAAACAGTTATTTGCCACCAACTGTACAACATTAGCACAAACTTTCAATATTGTAGCTCAACTTTCAGAAGTTTGGAAAACTGCTTCATGTCTGGAATCTGAAACTAATGATTTCTAAGCTCCAGTTGCATCAGTTTTTATTAAAGGCTTACCCCTCTAAATGCAGGCTTACTGTAATTAGGCTCCCCCCTGAGAACAGATAACTCAAGTCTCATGACTCATTTTCTCTCTACAACATCAAATAATTTAGCTTCTGGTCCTGATCCCCAGATCATCTAGACTATATGCCTGTTAATTTGCTCAAGGCTCTCTGAGTGAGCCAACCAATCTCCTCTAAAATAAAATCCAGGGTTTCTCATCAAGACTGTTCACTCCAGGGACCTTTCCCAACTGGCAGCACATGCAAGGTCTCAAGAGATTCAGCTTCCTGCTTCAGATGCTACAGAGCTCTTCAACACCATTCCAGTAGCCCCCGCACCCCTGAGCAACCCCAAATCTCTCATGCCACATAAATCCCACAGCATTCAACATACAGCCTGGTGTCACTATAAAAACGCAACTCTCATCACATTGACACCATTTCCTTTTTTTTTTTTTAATTTTTTTTTAAAATCAAAGTATGTAAAATACAGGACCAAATAAGCATATCTTTGGGAACAGGGATATCATACAGGACCAGAGAACAACTAGGCCAAGTACAACTAGTACCCTCTGAAATGCTGTAGCTGTTACAGTATCCTCATGGACTGACTATCAGTCAGAGGTCAGTGGAAGGTCAGAAGGTGATGTTGGGGCAGAACTATGGTGGGCAATTCAAATGCTTTAAAAAGTTGATTCTCAAGTCTTAAAACTGAAATAAGCTTACAGATGTTTTGTTTCAAATGGAGTGCTATCCATTAGGCACCTATGTTCTCATTTCATTTTTAAACACAGGCTGTCTGCATGCAAAGCAGTTGCAAAATCAGTGCCTTTTTACATTTTCCTTTAATAGTTCATCCTTCCCTTCACAGACATAGCTTCTGCACATAATACCCCACTGAATACTCTCATGGTGCATGAGGAATGTGCTTTTTGTTGTTTACCACATATCACAAATGCAAATATTGCATGGAATAACAGTCATATACAAGGAGCTATTAAGGAACAACTACTCCAGTTCATTCAGCTATTTTTTATTAGTCTTTCCACACAAGTTTTTGTCCTTGAAACAAAAACGAAAGAGAACCCCGCAAAACATCCATACTTGGAATTACTAATTACTAAACTCCAATACAGACAACTAAATATCTATTATCTTATCTTTAAATAGCTTGAAGGAGTAGGGGTATACTCTTTTCCTCCCCCAAAATGGGAATACAAAAACAACACCTACCTTTAACAATCTGCTTGGCACAGGCATTATAAACTTGTTCCTGGGTTGTATTAGGAGGTAAAACTCTATCAAAGACATATGGCTTCCCTTGCTGAAAAGGAAACAAATTTTTGTAAGATAAAGAGGTTTTTTTGTTTTGTTTTAAATAATTGTTATACCACCTCCCCACCCCCAAACAGGCAACCTGAAATGCAGAACTTAATGCAAAGACAGACATTCAATGCAATGGACGCTACAATATTTCATTGACTAAACAGATGTCACATCTCATTTCTCCAAAAACATATCTCCTGTAGTCAGCAAATAAAAAGCAGCATGTGTTTTCTACGTATTCACGTTTGGGTCAGCACGCTGCAGTGGCAGGAAACAATAAACTGAAATACCATCAATTGAAAGTTGATTGTTTTCTCCCTCTCCCAGGATTTAAGGGAGAACATCCATATTTGTATTTGCAAAAGATATGTCAAAAGTTCACTACAGCAAAACAGTGAAAGTGTGTGTGTATGGGGAGGGGTGTTAAGACCAATGAAATTCAGAGCTCTGTAGGTGCTAAAAGCTCCATTCTGCTGACATTGAGGTAGCACAGCATGTTCCCAGTATGTTACATGTTACTTCAGCAGAAATAGCCTGGTTTTATTTCTATGCTAAAAAATGGAAGTATGTTTGCATGTTGGTAAAAATCACAGGGTAGACATAAAAAGAGGCAGTCTAGTCAGCATATTCTGTTTTTCTGAACTTGTATTTTATTCAAAAAAAAAAAAAATCAAGCTTTTCATCCTTAACACCAACAAATAGCAAGATGTCTTACATAAAGGGCTCTCAAATGACATTTTACATTTTCCAGAGCCATTTCCAGGTTTTGAACCATCACAAACTCACCACAGATTTAGTTACCCCCTTTTCCTGGATATCATCATGAGTGATACTTACTCACATACAGTGTGCAACAACAGGCAGGTGCACTCTGGAAAATTTTGCAGCAAGTACAATTGGTTACAAAAGAAACACGTACTAGCATTCCAAAAAATACGCTTCAAAGGTACTTAAAAATAATCAGTTTAAGATAGCCCTTCCGTTCCTTACAAGTTAGTAAAAACAAGGAAGATATTTACACTTCAAATAAGATTCCTTTACTTAATTACAATAAGCAGATATGCAAAACCTTCTTCTTAATCTTCCAAAGCCTGTGGTATTTCCCTTCTGAGATGCGACACTTGCTCCTAGAATACTATAACAAGGGCTTCAAAGCTAACTGATGGGTGGATATATGCTGTATGTCGTGGTCTCACTCTGTTCAGTCAACAAGCCATTCAGAGCCACTTCAGCAGTTTGTAGCCAGCTGTTTAAACAGCTGGCCAAATTAACTGTTTTCTTGTCACATTTTGATTTTACTTCAAGCAGATCATAAACTTACACTTGCCTACGGCTTAAAACTCAGATATTTAACAGCCATGGGGAAGATAAGACAGAAGTACTTGCGTACAACGGGTTTTCTTAATGCTTCATCCAATTATTTCAGATCTCAAGGATAAGAAAGTAACTTACAAACCATTCAGAAAATAATTTGGGGTAACAGCTATGTGTGGTCTCACGCTGGGTAAGTCAAACACCCCACCTGGCGAGATGCCAGCCAGAAGAGGCCGTTGGGGCTGAGGCCACCATTGCCACCTCAGACCCGGAGGCTCACCGACTGCAGCCTTGCTCCCCAGGAGAGCAACGGGACCGTTGGAGAACGCCCAGATGGCACGTACGCAAACTCTGTCTCTCCACAGCCTTCCACAGCTAATGCACGCTCTGCAGCCCTCAGCTATACAAAGCTCTTAGTACACAGGGCTAGGAAGGTTTCCCAGCTCCGCTATAACTTTTCTGGAATAATTCCTCCAATGGACATTTACTTACTTACCCCCATTTTGTTTATTCCAAACAACAGATAAGAGGCCCTAATCAAAGGGTTCAAAGAACAAATGGACACAGAATCTCAGCTATCCACTCACCCAATTTATTTCCTTCATGCCTGAATTGAGGCATATTAGCTAAGCAATGTGGAAGACTAGTAGAGAGTGAGGCCAGTTCATCATTGTACCACAGCAAACATAGCACTCCAGGCAAATACTGCTCCAGTGCAATCAATCCAGCTCTTCCACCGAGTTCTCAACAACTCTAATGTCAAAGAGTCTTAAAAGCAATCCATCATAATTGTGCTGCATGCAGTTGACAAAGGCACTAGCTGCGACTATTATTTATCCATCAAACTGAAAAGCTGCAACTGTAAAGCAGCAATTCAAAGTGTACTGCGCAGGTCAAATTTCTTCCCCTTGATTATTTTTTTTTCCTGGAAAGCTGAGCATCAGCAGATAAGCAAAAACATAAGAGACTGGAACACCAATCATTAATATCTGAAGAAAATAAACAAACATCAAGGATCAAAAAGCCGTTATCACTGCACAAAATAAGACAGAGCTTCATTACCCAACCAGCACTTCCATGTGCATGTCTGTGCATGTGTGTGAGATCTCCTTACTGATTTTGGACAAAGATAATTCAGGCTCATGTTTCAGGCTGCAAAGGAGAGTACAAGTGAACACAGATGCTTCCCTATCTATCCTCAGTTTGAGAACTTACACCACTTTTGTTCCACTACCACCACTCCTCTGCCTTAAATCCTCTTCCTACCACCTAGGTAGCTTCCTCCACTCCCCACTCACCAGGCTTCTCATCCTTCTTCTACTTTCTTTGTTCAAAAACTCCTACTTGAGTCTCTGATGTTGGGGAAGTGTCTTTCAGTGCCTACCCCTTCACCCCAGTTCAGCTTTCTAACTATTTCTCATCTCACCAGCTTTCTGCAGCCCAGCCAAGGCTCCACCTACCCCAGCCGCCCACTGTTTCTTGGAGTACTCCTCACCCCAGTCTCCATCCCAACTCCAGGCTCCAAGTCACAATCTGTTACCACCTTCAGCACCTCTCTCAGAGGGTTGTCTCTCACCCTTTCCACATTTGAGCTGGGCGGACAAAGCCAGCCTGCACTTGTCTCACAGGAGGTCTCAGTCAGTATATAGGAAGAGGCTTGCTGCTCTCCCAGACACCTAGAGCTGGGTCAGCTTACAGCACCTTAGACAATATATCCAGTTTGAAGGAAAGTCTTGTGTAATTTAGCTGCTAAAATACAGTTAATATAGAAAAAGTTTATAAGCTCATTAATTTTTGACAGAACTCAAAATTAACAAAAGGCATGTTCATCATACAAAAGCTGACACATCCCAAGCTTTTGCTCCAGAACAGAGAGACAGGGAGAGCAAGTATGGAGGTCCTCTTAATTTTTTCGTATGTTCCTAAGCAGTACATTTTTCCCTATTGTCATTTTCAGAAATAAGACAATTACCTTTTTTTCCTTTTCCTCCAAATGCAATGTAGCTTGAATCAAATACCAAAAATCAGGAAGATTTCAGCCTTATTAGAACTTATAATTCAGGAAGGAAATAAGCAGCTAAAAATAAAGTGTTATTTTATGAGTTAATACTAGCAGTTTTACCTGTGCACCTTCTCTATACACTATTTTTCAAGCTTTCTTATTATATACAATATATTGTCTCATACATAAATCACATCTTCCTTTCTATGTGATGACCTCCTACAGTCCCTCTGACAGTCTGTTCCATTAACTTCTGCCACTGCTGCATAACGGCTAAGATAAGTGCTCAGATACAACTTCAACAGGAATTGTGTGGGTGTATTGACAGCAAGATAAATTCTGTTCTGGCCCTTGGATATCACAAAGAACGAAGCTATTCCTACATATTGCCAATTATTATTTCACCAGCGTAACATTTAGAGCTTCCTACTGCGTTTACAGAATTGGCATTTAAGAAAAAAAAATAGCATTTCATAAATAAAAATAATTCTAAAGATAAATGTAGGCACCATCAAAACCACTATTTTTGCAAACATCACAAAGCAGTAGCATCATTAGAAGCTAATACAGTCCCAGTTAAAGATAGCCAAGTACAGTCCCAGTTACCAAAAAAAAAAAAGGTCTCCTAAAGACTGTATAGACTGAAATGAAAAATGGTTCAGTGCTTATAGTTAACAGGCTAAAAATTAGGAACTTTAATGCAACTTCATGATCAACTCCCTGGGTAAGACATTTAGGGCAGAATCTCCAAATGCATCTGCATGTTACAATGGTAAGCAACGTGACATCCGACTTGCTGGCATACGACCTCAGAGGTACAGCGTTGAGCCCCGAGTTCTCTTATAAAAAGCAGGAGCTGAGTCAGATGGCTTAGAACAATTTCCAGCAGCCAGCACACAGCTCAGATATAATTGCTCATCTAGAAAGGCAGGATACTCCTAGGATTTTTTTATGCTCCCTTTTGCTTTTTTGGGAGCTGTAAGGACACTCTTGAGTCAGATCAGGAATCACAGCCTGAAGCCATCTCCTAGAATCAGAGCTACCATGCAGATCTGTCTTAAGCCAGATGCAAGTTTGCTCCGCTTGAGCAGAAGGCAGCTATGTACAGAATTCAAGACTTCCCAAAACAGCATAGGTATATGCTGATAGTTAGGGCACTCAGCTGAAGTGGGCAGATTTTTGTGTCACCTTAACATCTTTTCACACTAAGAAAAAGGTGAGGAAAAAAAAAACAGAAATCAAATCAGCTTTTGCAGAGACAACCAAGAGCCATTAGTTGATTTTTTTCTGCTTGTTAGGGTCACTCCATGTAAATCCCTACTGTTGTGTCTAAATTCTTCCTTGATGAATCCACAGAAACTCCAACACTGCCCTCCTCCAGTAACTGTGAGAGCTCAGAAAAGGCTTGCCTGTATTTTCAAAATGCAATGAACAAACATATCCCTTTGCACTACCCACACACACCTGAACACTCAAAGGGTTGATCGCCTGACACCAAACAACTGACCACACCTGCACAAGCTTCCTCACAGGTCTTGGTACAAGCACCCCAGTTAAGCCTGCCTTGCACTCAACGGCTAGAGCACAGTGCTAGCCATGTGTGTCAGTCATCTCTCTCTCTCAATTCAATTTCACTTGTGCTGACAGCCTCTTCCACTAGAAAGTGCAACATCACAAATCAT